AAGCGTCCAATTGGTTCGATGCCGCGACCGTGATCTTTTAAACATTTTGTGAAAGTCGTCTTTGTTTAAGAAGGTCCACTTCCAGTAGCCAATTTTCTCCCCACATAACATTTCTTCATCCTCAGCAAGACCTGTTTTATTTTCCATTACAGTAATTCCATGTTCCAATGAAATCTAACTCTTCAATTTTAGTATCAGCGGTCGGATCCTGAAATATGGAAGTGAAACTCAGAAAATTTTTACAGTCAAGTAATACTATAACTTCTATTCGTAAAATTTTACAAGATTTGTTTCCAATTTCGGACAAATTCACAATATTACTACATAACAACTTAGTAATGTAAGCAGTAAGGGCCCTCTCCTAATTTTAATCTGTAGAAGTGCACGTGCAAATAACGCGCGGCTTCAATGCAAAAATATGTGTGTGCTCTTGGCGCGCGCTAAAACTCTGCGTTAGCTGAAAATATTGGTTTGGTACCACAACGAGAGTTTTATAATTCCCGCCAATTTCAAACTCTAGAAAAAGAATCCGAAATTTTGGGACAGCCTAAAACATATTCTGATTAATGCTTTTCGACTTTATTTGTCCGTAAACTGAGAACTACAGCAAATTTATCTTCTCTACGAACTGGGCCCGAGTTACTTGTTTTAAAATACAGCAAATCTATCTTCTCTACGAACTGGGCCCGAGTTACTTGTTTTAAAATACAGCAAATCTATCTTCTCTACGAACTGGGCCCGAGTTACTTGTTTTAAAATACAGCAAATCTATCTTCTCTACGAACTGGGCCCGAGTTACTTGTTTTAAAATACAGCAAATCTATCTTCTCTACGAACTGGGCCCGAGTTACTTGTTTTAAAATACAGCAAATCTATCTTCTCTACGAACTGGGCCCGAGTTACTTGTTTTAAAATACAGCAAATCTATCTTCTCTACGAACTGGGCCCGAGTTACTTGTTTTAAAATACAGCAAATCTATCTTCTCTACGAACTGGGCCCGAGTTACTTGTTTTAAAATACAGCAAATCTATCTTCTCTACGAACTGGGCCCGAGTTACTTGTTTTAAAATACAGCAAATCTATCTTCTCTACGAACTGGGCCCGAGTTACTTGTTTTAAAATACAGCAAATCTATCTTCTCTACGAACTGGGCCCGAGTTACTTGTTTTAAAATACAGCAAATCTATCTTCTCTACGAACTGGGCCCGAGTTACTTGTTTTAAAATACAGCAAATCTATCTTCTCTACGAACTGGGCCCGAGTTACTTGTTTTAAAATACGTCAAAGTTAACTGCTGAATGTTCCGGTCAAAAATTAATTATAGTTTATATTAAAATATTGTCTATTGTCTATGTTTTACTATAATGCTGGGAGCCTTGTTGTAAATAATAGGGTACATACCATTCCTTGAAAGTCGTTATTTCGGAGTGAGCAACCATTTCATTGACTAGCGAATCTAAATTGAAATAGTCGAATATCACTCAATTTCAGTTGCAGGTCGACATCCTTAAAATTAGAGAGCAAATAATTTTATTTTGTACTCTACTTCAGTCAATATAAATAGAAATTACAGCAATTTGAAGTAACAGCATATCAAGCTATATCATACATAATTATGAAAGCCTCGCAGAGATCTCGATTAAATCTGTAAACGTACATTTAACGGTAAGATATATAGATAGCGCGTAATATATGCGCACGCATAAAACCAATATGGCTGCCACACAAAGCTACAAACTTTGGTTCACGCACAGATAGTTCTGCTGAGTCTGCTGAAGTACTTGCAAGTGCCTTCAGCTCAGTGTTTGTGTGTGAGCCACCTGGCCCTCTTCCTAAAAATGACACTTTGGATTATGATAAAGATGTTATTAGTGATTTGCAAGTTAGCAGTGCTGATATTAAGAAGCAACTTTTAAAGCTTAATATTTTTAAGAGTTCAGGTCCGGATGGTGTTCATCCAAAGTTATTAAAATCGTTAGCTTATGATGACAACTTTGTAGAAGCAGTCACTAAATTATTTAAAATGTGTTCAGAAACGGGATCTCTTCCTGAGGTGTGGAAGTCAGCATCCGTTGTAGCATTGTTTAAAAAGGGTGTTAAATCAGATCCCTTAAACTATAGACCAGTTTCCTTAACTTGTATTTTGTGCAAAGTGTACGAAAAGTTGGTGAGGGCACATTTATTGGATTTTTTAGAAGAACGAATATCAAAGCATCAGCATGGATTTGTTAAGGGCAAATCTTGCTTATCTAATCTTTTAGAGACATTTGATAATATTCTTGATATTTTAGATGAAGGTGATCCTGTTGATCTACTGTATTTTGATTTTAGTAAGGCCTTTGACACTGTCCCCCACTTTAGACTTTTATCTAAATTGGAGGGGTTTGGGGTCAAAGGAAAAGTTTTAGATGTTATTAAAGATTTTCTTACAGACAGAACCATGAGGGTTTGTGTAGAAGGACAATGGTCTGAGGTGAAACACGTGTTATCTGGTGTTCCCCAGGGGTCAGTATTGGGTCCTTTGCTATTTATTCTTTATATTAATGATTTACCTGATATAGTCAAGAATAAGATTAAATTATTTGCAGATGACCTCAAGTTGATTGGTAATGCAGCTAACCACAGCAGTGTTGCTGAAGATATTGTAGAACTGGAAGTCTGGGAGAGTATTTGGCTTTTGAAGTTTAATCCTGCTAAATGTAAAGTTGTTCATATTAATCTTAATAGCAACCCTAACTTAAATTATTTAGTAAATGGTGTAGAACTTGAAGTATCTGATCAGGAAAAAGATTTGGGGGTTATTACCCATAGTTCCCTGCTTTGGAATGAACAGATAAAAGCATGTATTTCCAAGGCAAATCGAATGATTTGCTGGATTGTAAGGAATTTGATAATTAGAGAAAAATGTGTAATGATAGCCATCTATAAAGCTTTGATAAGACCTCATCTAGAGTATTGTGTCCAATTGTGGAATCCAGTTGCGGCTCATGGAAGTTGGGGGACTGTTTTGGAGCTGGAGAGCGTCCAGAGGCGGTTTACCCGTCTGATTGATGAGGTGGGTACTCTTCCTTACAGCCGTAGACTGGAAATCCTTAATTTGACAACGCTGGCAGAGCGGCGAATACGTGGGGACCTTATTGAAGCTTTTAAGGTTATTAATGGCTTGACTGATTATGGTTCAGACTTGTTCAGACCAAGCAGATCAGGTCTTAATCTGGTTTCATCCAATAGATGTAGTAAGAGTGTGACAAAGGTCAAGAATCTTCAGTGTTCTTTTCTTCCAGAGCGGGTTGTTCCTTATTGGAACAAACTCCCTTCGGAGGTGAAGAACTGCTTGACAGTTTTGAGTTTTAAAATTGGATTGGAAAGTTTTAAAAAGAATATGATTTCTAAATGTATTGTAAATGACTTTCATTTTTGGAATGTTTCGAAAGAAGTTTTAACAAGAATTGAAGGTACCAGTTATATCAGTAATAAGGAAAAACACAATGATTATCTGTGGTTCCATCCTTATGTAGCAAAGAAACGTTTTATAAATCTTTACTCCACTGGGAAGTATGAATAAATTAAATTTTGTAATGTTGTTTTTATTCATGATTAATATTTGATAAATTATTACCTTTAAATTTGATGGAGAAATAGTTATTTTTCCATGTAGTGTGATGATACTTTGTAGACATTAGTGATGATGTTATGTCATAATTTTTTTTTACTTTACTTTAAACTGGAACAAGAAATGAAAATTGTGAATTCAACCAGCTTGGATACTATTATCCAACGCGACATTGGTTTGGGCGCATTATCGACACGTTTTAAATGCGCGGAACATTTTTGTGCGCGGCACTAGCATTCTAAATTTTCAAAATTCAAATCATAGCCAGAGTTATGGTTATTTTTCAAGACAAATTTTGAGGCAAATTTTACGTGTAAATTATCCATTTTTCATTCATGATCACTCATAATTTGAACAATTTACCTTGGATTGAATTGAACTCTTCAGTATTCGATGATTAAAACAATTGTTTTAAGAACAGAGTAGTTTTAAAGCTAAACATTCGCAATTTGTCTTAACAGGAGTCTTGGGAGAATTATAAAAATGAAATTTAAACGTTTTAGCGGCGCATGAAGCCCGCGGCGTTCGCTGGGGTGATGTTTATGAACATGATAGCCTGAGGTCCCCAGGTAAATGATCACGAGGACCTATGAGCGCCAAATTTAATTTAAAGTTTCTAGAAATCACACATCACTACGAGTTACACCACTACGAGTTACTCATGCTTTTGAATTATAGGAGTGCGGATTGTTAGATATTTCATTCATTCATACTTAGTCGGTTTAAAGCTGTATATTTAGAACTCACTATTGTTTAAACTATAAAAGCATAACGTAGATAATGGACAATATACCGACGACAATACCAAGGACCTGAGTGCTGCATTGACTTTTCCGGATCCGGTCGCCCATTAAGCTGGTAGAGCACAGAGTTTCCGCCTTTAGAGCAGAAGATCCAGGGCTTGAATCCCAGTGTCATCTAGTGTATATAATAAGGGGATAGCTAAGGATCATAGCTAATTTACACATAACTGTCATGTTTTCAACTTGATCGCCGAATGATCGGAAAACTGTGATTGAGGGTTAAATAAGGAGGGGCCCTGGCAAAGGATCAAGAATCTTGCTAGGGGTTTCCCTTCAGTAAATCTACATTAAAGTGTACACTGTACAGTAAAAACTAAACAAAAACTACTACTACTACTAGTCACAATAAGTAGCAGGAACGTATACAGACAAACATAATATGACAGTGACGGTATATTTTCTAAAATTGTCTACAATTTAAGCCTTTGAGCTTCCTGAATGCGCTGCTCAGTTATGCTCTTGCATTGGAGCTTTTAACCTTGATAATCTCAGTCCCCACCTCATCCTAATGTGATCAGATTAATTTATTAAAATATTTGTTCTACTAGTTAACTCAGAAACATGTTCAAACCAACATAGGTATTGATGGCAAAAGGATCTGTGGTCAATATTCTTGAGATATCACCAGAAGACAAGTTATTCTTTACTGGACCCTTCACAGAAATATCTAAAACCCACATCACCTTAAAGAATGCCACTTTTAAAAGCATCATTTTCAAGGTACACTTATACTTTTTTGATGTGGATTGGCATTAGCTAGTGCAGTTGAGCCCTAGCCCTAGTAAAGTGAGGGTCCATTTTTATCTCAGTGTGCACCAACTTAGAAATTGTGATGCCATGCCAGACATTGCCCTGTAAATAATCAGTTTTTAATGATCTATTAATGTAAATTTAACTGTAACTTTTGCTGATTAATCACAAATTTCCCAAAGATCAAAACTACGGAACCAAAGAAATACTGTGTAAGACCAAACCAAGGAATAATTGGTCCCCAAGACTCAGCCACTGCTACTGTTATACTCCAACCTTTAGATGAGGAACTTCTATCTAGTTCTCAAGGACAACACAAGTTTCAGATTCTTCATACTCTGAAAGATGATGGCGATTCATTGAAATCAATAGAGGAGTTGTGGATATCAGCAAACCATGCTCTGGTGTTTCATCATAAGTTGAGGTGTTACTTTGAGACTGAAATTGAGACACAGCACCGTATGAAAGATAAGGACTTACAATTTAATGTAAGCAATCTTAAGGATGCATCGAACTTGGTAAGTGGTTATCATTGTAATAACTGGGTTACACCTCTTAAACTAATTGATAAGATCAAGACTTTTAAACTTGTGTTTACTGACTTTTCCAATTAAAATTGGCTTCGGTAAAGCATGTTGAATATTGATGGTATCTTCAGTTTGAAGAATGCATGAAATCTCTCTCATTGGATGTTATTCTACTTTTCCAAACAATTCGTTTGTTTCAGATAACTGAGCTAAGAAGTAAAGTTGATGAACTGAAGAGACAGAATACAAAGCTAAATATCAGTGTAAGTTTGTTACCTAAATCAGTCTATGATAGAGATCATCTTTCCTTAGATTAAACAAACATTTTGATAGTTATTAAATAAGGTTTTAAGGTTCCCAATTAGCATCTCAGATTTTAAACTTAATCCTGGTCGTGGTTTGATTTACATTTGTGTTAACTTTAAATATAAACATATTTCAGCTGAGTGAGACACAAAAGAGACTTGATATTGCGTTGAAACCCTCCCAGTTTCCTGATCTTCTGATCTACATTGTGGTGGCTATTCTTGGCTGGCTCTTTGCCAAATTTATTATATAATACCCATGAAGGATATATATTCCTAATCAGTTGACATAATATATGACTATTGTACTTGCTTGACCTTCTTTATTTTTTCGGCACGAAGTACAATTTATCTAACTTACCTGTCTATTATAGTAATTCATATTATGTTGTAGCTTAAAGCAATTACCTTATAATTATGCTTTGATTTGATTTAATTTTGATATCAAGTCTAAGATGCGATTGAAGTATGACTGAACTTAAACGGTTTGAGTTTTATATTATTCATGTTATATTGTACTTGTCAGGATTATGCACAAATTTTTATAATCAGATTCAGAATATTTGTTCTAACTGTTTTAATAGTAGAAAAAATTTTATAATTGTTCAAGTGTCGAATTTAAATTACTTTGGTCTTTGATATTAACCAATCAAGTTATATCATAAATAATACAATGTTTGTGGCACAATAATATTATTATCTGTAAATATTACATTAATTAATTGATGAGCTAATTCCTGACAACTTAATTTGGAACTTAAAATTTATTATTTTGTATTCTATTCATTTGCCAATTTTTATCACTTACTGTAAATTATATAATATAATATAATCATATTGTAATATTGTGATTGCCTTTAATGACCATTTTGAAAATGTATGTTTATCATTGCAACGATAATTCATTGTATAAATTAAAGTTTATTAAAGTCTAGTACATTGCAAAACCTTCACCGAGTCACAGGATTTTTGCTATCAACTGCTATTCACAAATTAACTAGGCTATCCACTCCGATAATCGGAACCGATAATTATCTCCGATAATTCGTTAAAAAAAGTTATCTGTTTATCTAGATAAAACGTATTTTTATCGGTATAAAAATTCACTAGATATTACCGAAAATACTGCCACAATACCGTAAAATTGTAAAGAAATATTAGTGTTTTTGCCTTCCCAAGTAATCCAAGAAACAGTCCCAAACGTCTTTTAGTATGATAGAAGAGGTAGTTCACTTAGATGTGAGCTTAAGACGTTTATTTACATTTGTATACCTATGGAACTGTAGAACTGTATGAACTGTAGAAATCTAGAGAAGGTTATTGACATTGTTCTCTTGAGGGTGCTGGCGTTTTACCTTACAACCATGCTGGAGACGGGAACGAGCATGTTACTGTTAACAAGAGTCAAAAATACCAGCAGGGCACTCAATTGAATTCCGTAAGTGTTCTGGGCGTGAAACATTGTCTTCAGGAGAAGGAATTTAATCTGTTGCTCCAAGTTATCAACAGGATAAGAAAACGGTTCACTGAATCACTTTAAATGCTTTACTGTTTCGAGGAGAATTGGTATTTGGTGCACTACTGTTCTCAGGAGAAGGAAACCCTTGGTCTACTGTTTTGAAGAGAACTGGTGCACTACTGTTCTCAGGAGAAGAAAACCGGTAGTCTACTGTTTCGAAGAGAACTATTGCGTTACTGTTCTCAGGAGAAGAAAACCGGTGGTCTACTGTTTTGAAGAGAACTAGTGCGTTACTGTTCTCAGGAGAAGAAAACCGGTGGTCTACTGTTTTGAAGAGAACTATTGCGTTACTGTTCTCAGGAGAAGGAAACCAGTGGTCTACTGTTTTGAAGAGAACTAGTGCGTTACTGTTCAGTGTTCTCAGGAGAAGAAAACCGGTAGTCTACTTACTGTTTTGAAGATAACTAGTGCGTTACTGTTCTCAGGAGAAGAAAACCGTTGGTCTACTGTTTTGAAGAGAACTGGTACACTACTGTTCTTAGGAGAAGAAAACCGTTGGTCTACTGTTTTGAAGAAAACTGGTGTACTTCTGCTCCCCGGAGAAGAAAACTAATGCTCTAATATTTTCAAAAGAAAGGAAGTGGTTCTTTAGCAAGATTACTGGTAAACAGTAATAAAAGTCGACAATTAGTTTTTGCGAAATTTGGAAAACATTTTGGCTTTGGCCTTCAGCAGAAAAATTATCGGTTTTATCGGTTTTATCTAGATAAAACCTAAATCTTTATCTGTTTATCTAGATAAAAAATTTCATACCGATAATGGATAGCCTAAAATTAACTATTCCTTAAGTTCCTTTCACTTTATCAAATCAATGTTTTCGAATGCACAATCATTGCATTGAACAAACACAAACACAAACACACACCCACACTGAAGAGATACCTTGTTGAAACTACAAAAAAAAAGACAGTTGCTGTACTCGTTAAATCACTATTGTCATAAAAAGTTTGGACATTGGACAAACTATTAGGAATAAGTGACTAAACAGCTTGAAATTATATATCCAGTACAACATGTACCCTTTTATTGGCAGTGATGTTCCAACTTTTCATACCTACCTTCCACCTGCCTTAGCCCAAATTAAATCGTATGTTATCTCATACTCTACTAAAATTTAAACTGGTGTCAATGTCGACCTTGTGGACAGATGGTTTTAAAATAATCCATATAAACAAAATTATTATGTTAATTTACAGCTGCTCTAGCCTCTATGCAGTCGATCAAACGTTCGAATATATATCCAGTTTCATGTGTACAATGTATCAGCTATCAAACTTCCACTTGTAATGACTCCGATTATATCAGGGGGTAAGACTACTAACTTGACTTTGAGCTTCTTTCCCGAATAGAGTAATCTACTGGTGAATACGGAATAAAGCTACTGAAACGACACATGCTGTCCTCTTTGAGTCTCTGATCTTATGTTTTACTCATGTTCCAAGTTCGTAGTAGGAATGTAAGGTGTGTCTTTACTAACATTAGCTGAGATTCCTTCTATCGCTCCGAGTATCACAGGATTTCAGTTCTGTTCTTGCTACATGTAATACAGTTCTTCAATTCTTGCACTTTTAGAATAATTTCAAATTTCATTAGAAATCAGGTTTGAATAGTCTTGTTTTAAGAGTGTTGATTGGGTTAATTGTGAGATTTCACCTCTTGGTTAAATGAATTTCTATTGGTGAATTGGAATGTCTTTTCTTTTCACTTACATTATTTGGTTGTACTGGGTAGCGCAGTGAATTGGTCTTTAAGATCAGATATAACAATTGCTTTATACAATTTGTATTGTATCCAGATTGTATGTCTAAATCTATCATTTCTTGAATAAACGAATAGTGTTAAATAATCTTATTTATTCACCATTGCAATTAACAAGTATAGTAGAAACAGTTAGTTATTGAATTTACGTTATCAAAAAATTAAGTTGCTGACATTGTTGGTTTACAGTTCATCTTCATCAAAACCCCTGTCCAGTGAACCTGGCTGAACTTCCGTGCTATATCTGGAATATCCGGTATTCGTATAGCTACAGATGCAGATAACCGTCCTAACAGCTCTAAAAACATTAATCCCTGAACAGAGTACGTTTGCCATAAATCCGAGCTGAAGTAACAAACAGACAACTTTGGCAACAGCCATTGGAGAGTCACTGAGCACCATTACATCTCCTACAGTAGTGATTGTAAACACCTGATTATACATCACGGATGTGAAACTGAGAGCTCGGTCCTTCAGATAGAGATATATACCAGGAATAGAAAGCAGTGCAGATAGAGGTAATAATGAGACAACAAGTTTCAAACCATGTCCTGTTAAAGTAAACTTGGTCCACAAATCAGAGTTCTGAAAGAACAAGTTCAAAAACCTCTCCATAATCTCCTGCATGAGAATAACAAAACACGCCAGAAAACATAGCAGAAGCAGGACCCCAACTATGAAGTACATAACCACAAATAATCTCCCTGTTATACTGTTTGGCAGAGAGCCAGGAGCCCTTACCGTACTGATGAATAATGCTGCTCCCTGGGCTGATCTCCAGAATGAGGGCTCGGTTTGGGGGTTTCTAAGAGGACACCTGGTTTTGTAGCTGGGTAACATGGTATGCAAGTTGTACCGGGATATTACACTGCTGGTGATGTTAGTGGAGATTGGCAGAGTGGGATTGTGGTTCTGAAGGGTCTGGAGGCAGAGTGCTCCGAAGAGTAGGAAGAACGTTACTGCTAGCAATAAACCTAATGATTGAAGTATTTCGCATTGAATCTTCGAGTTTCGGTTAGTGGTGTATGGTGTGGAACATCTGAAAAATCTCTGCAGCGATTTTACAGTTGCCGCTTTTTCCATTGATTTTGGGTGCTTTATTCTAGCTTCTTTAGTGAGAAACGGGTTTTGTCGGGTTTGTTGGTGGTTGTAGAATTTCGCTAGCCGTTTTACTCTGATTTTCTGTGCCCGTTTGCCCCACTTTCTCTCCTCCCGCTGAGCTTGGTGTTGCTTGACTTGTTCTGGGTGATTATTCAAGAAGGGGGATAGGGAGTCTGTATCACTTGCAATACTCATCTGCATCCTGGTATCTATTCTTCTGGATGGGTGCTTAGCAGTTTTCCTCTGATAAGGAGATAATGAAACGGTTTCACTTTCAAAACGTTCAGTATTATATGATATCGGTGGCATTTTCGTTTGTTTCGACATAACTGGTAGAGCGTCAATTTGAGCTAACAAAAAATAAACAAGGACGCAAGAAAAGATCTTTACACAATCTGGTTGATTAATGATTAATTGTTAAGTGGATCGAGTTGATTGATGATTCATTACCTCAATTGTACATGAAGTGTAAGCTTATCAGGACAATGGTCCTAATGTGTTTTTTGGATGTACTTTTACACCTTGCAATAAATGAACAGTTAATTAGATTTAACATATGGGTGGTTGTAACTTACCCTCGCCTGTAAACGGAGTTCCTATCATATTCCTTTCTTTTTGTTCAGTCCTTTAATCGATCTGGTTCCTAATGAAGTTAAAAATCTTAAAATCCATTGAAAGTCTATTGAAAGTGACCTTGCAAATGTAACGTCACGTTCGCGTTGTTTGAGTAGGATATTATTATCTTCAGATAAAATTATGTTCTGCATAAAACGTTGGTGTCTAACGTCATGTTTCGTCCGTTTCAGAATGTTATCTTTACGCGTGCGTATTGTTAGCATGTGACAATATCCTATATCAGTTATTTGGAGGTATTGTTTGAAGCATTTTGACTTTTGTATACTTGCTCCATATTGCATTAGCACGAGGAATTTGTATAGATTAAAATGGATTTTGGTGAATGACACATACCGTTATCATTTCTAGTTTGTTGTGAAAGTAGCTGTTTCCGTCCCTATCTTGGAGTTGGGGGTTTTGGCACATCAATTGCAGCTCACTTCCTCACGATCATAAACGGTGAAAACTCACGAGACAATCCGTCATCAGCATTACTATCTCACTCATCCTCAGACCTCAGCATTCTCACATGACGAAAACACAGTAAATACCACCTCTTACCATACTCCCACTCTAATAACATATTCCCAGGAGTCATGTCAAGGCATCGCGCCCGAACCCCCGACTTCACAATCCAAAACGACCTCCAAAATGAGCTGGAAGACCAGCCCCTGATTCCAGGTGGTCAGATCCAGCCCCCACGTGACCATTACAACCTGTCCTACCTTGCAATGGTGGTGTTCGGACTAGCAGCTCTGCTCCCCTGGAACATGTTCATCACAGCTACCAGCTACTTTGACAAGAAGTTCGAGAAGGGGTCCCCTTTCGTCCACAAACAGTTCGAGAACTTCATCACAATCTTCTCGCAGATAACAAA